CTTGACAAACAGTCGTTGGCAAAAGTTATCTTTGAATGAGAATCACTTTCTGATAAATGAAAAAAGGATTTTTTTAATGCTTATTCACGTTTCTATTTCGTTGGACAATTTAATTGTGAACAAAATGCAAAAAAATTATGTATGTTTCTTTAAAACAAGATAGACGATCTGTGGGTAAAATTAATAAGTTTCGACAATGCAATGAGAAGACGAAGTTTATCAGAATTATATGATATATCTGCCCTTCGTCCTTAGGGAATCAAAGTTGGTTTTAAGCCAAACTAGTGGATATAGCGCATCAGTTTCATTCTTCTGGACCAAAGCAGAGAAGCATATTAACTTCTCAGCACTTCAAATCATTAAAACAATTGCGAAATAATCCCGATATTATTATAATTAAACACGATAAAGGATCTGGTGTTGTTATTTTGAATAAGTCCGATTACAAAAAAAATAAAATGGAATCCATTCTCAATGATAAAGGCAAATTTTTCGGCTGATGTTGACTTCAATGGATTACGTAAATTAGAAAAGAAAGTAAACTCGAATCTTGTGAAATTGTTAAACATGAATGCTATTAACAGGGATCAGTTTAATTTATTAAAACCTATGGGTTCGGCATATCCTAATTTATATGGATTACCAAAAATTCATAAGCCTAATACCCCACTTTGTCCAATTCTATCAATATGTCGGTCGCCTACACACAACCTTGCAAAATGGCTTATAAAAGTATTAAACATATCCGAAATCAATATTGTAAGTATTCATTGACTGACTCATTTGGATTGATTAATTACTTAAAGGACATAAAGACAAAGACAATGTGCTCCTTTGGTGTGAACACTTAATTTACAAATGTACCTCTCAGGAAAACCATTGATATTTTGTGTGACTATATTTCTTTGAATAACCTTCCACTCGCATTTCCTGTTAACACTCTTAAAGATTTATTATTATTGTGTACAGATAATGTAAAATTCACTTTTGAAGGTGAACACTTCCGACAAATAGATGGTGTAGCTATGGGTAATTTGTCGGGTAATTGAAGATTCAATTCGAAAGATGGGTCTGTATAAACGATATGTTGATGACATAATAATCATAGGGGATAAAGGTGAAGATATAAACCGCTTGTTAAAAGAGTTCAGTAGAAGTCAAAAGCATATTTCTCTTACATGTGAAGAAGAGAAGAACAACCAACTTCCTTTTCTAGACATCCTGATTAGTAGGAGAGATGATGGTTCCATTCAACATGCTATGTATAGAAAGTCAACATGGACAGGGCAATATCTTAATATTCATAGTCACTGCCCTATTCATTACAAACACGGTTTAATAAAGAGCTTATTCAACAGAATCAATCGTATTTGTACTAGTGATACTATTGAATTAGAGACGAAGCTCTTGACTGATACGTTAATGAATAATGGTTATTCTTTGAAGTCCATAAACTGCTGGAAGGGTTGTAATACGAGTAAACTTGTGACGCTTCTGGCACCCGAAAAGCGAGTTTATATTACGTTACCATTCAGAGGCTACACAAATAGTCTCATGTTGAAACAGAGACTTAAATTAGCTATCAACCGGACATTTTATGCAGCCCAACTTGTCATTATCGAAAAGACAAGGTCTATGTTTAACCAAAAGCCCAAACAGCACGAAAGCGATTGTCACATCCCATTGTGTCTATCAACTTATATGTATGTGTGGAAACACGTACGTAGGGAGGAGCAATCGTGATTTGCAATTAAGGGTGGGTGAACAAATACCAAAATGTAAATAAATAATATATCTGTAATATTTCAATGAGTAGAAAATTAGATTTTCTGACGTTTCGTGACTTAGTATAAGCCACTTCTTCAAAGAATAAATAACCAAATCAAAATTAATCCAAGTTTAAATAGTACAATAGTACAATTTCAAATATATTATTTATTTATAACAATCTACCCAATGCTCAATTTATTCGAGATTACCAAATCAAACCTTGGTAATGATACCTACATACCAAAATGGCTGCAGAAACAAATGGATCCCAATGGTCAAATAAGATCACATGACAGACAGACATCATCCTCCATTGTGAAACATTTGATTGAGACGGGTCATAATGTTGACGTCAAACAAGCATTTGTAGTGTTATACAAAAGCCTTCAAGGACGTATACTAAGGTTTATTGGAGCCTTGGCTATACGGAAATTGAAACCCCCTTTATGTGATCGAAAACAATTTGTCCTTACACTTAACCTACCCTGGTAATAGTGATTTATTATCCAGAGTGGTAATCACATTTGTTTTGTGTACTTTAATGTTTTTTTTATTTGTTATGGCTAACCCTTATAAATGTTCTTAACAAGTATATATGTGATCAGATTGCTCTAAATGCATTGCACAAATATATCACATAATTCTGATCAACTTCGTCTACTCATTGCATTATCGAAATTTATCAAAGGGACTAATTGTTTTAAAATCAATAAGGTTAACTTTGAATGAAATCACGGATACACCTCCAACTAACTAATAAACCTTCAATAAAATTTCGTTTCTTTATACTGAGATATTTGGTCAACAAACACACCCATAAAGGTCAACACAATTCATTCTGGAGTTCTTTAACTTTTGTAAATAAAAATTTGACCTAATATCGCCTTATCCAAGTACTTGTTTCTCTAGATTTTCCGACTAATCTGTTTTTGGAGAAAAATTCTCTGTATTCAGAACAACATAAATAGGTAAAAGTACAAGTTGATAGTACGAAGACAGGTGAACAGATAGTGGTAAGAATAATAAACTATAATAACAAAACTCTTATCAATAGTTAATCGTTGGAAATAGAAGGTCAAATAAACATGGGTAAATAGACTAGGAATAGTAATCACAAAACCTTAAAAATCATTACGTAATAAGATGTGTGTAAATAATTAGATAGTGAAGAATACAAAGAGGCGGATAATGACAAACAAATAATGGATGTGGAAATAAGGTTAACAATAACACAAATAGAATAAAATAAATAATGATAATAATAAAATTTAAAAAAAAAAAAAAAAAAAAAATAAAAAAAAAAAAAAAAAATTGTTAGTTAAGTTATAACTGGCCATGGAAGGTCAATAAGATGCTAGTATAGAACTCCGAATAGTTTTTCTCTGACCCTTTATGTACCAAGTTGGTAAATGTTCACTCATTCGTTGGTTAAGTTGCCTGGTAGTACGCCCTATATAGCTATCTCCACAGGAGCAGCTGAATTTTGTATTCAGTTAAACAACTATTGAAAAGCAGGAAGCATTGGACATTTATTTCATCTTAGTGTTGAACTCCGCGTCTATGCGTAACCACTACCTTGCCACCATGGGTCGAGCCCAGGACCTTCGGTCTCACAACTGTCACGTCGCGAGATCGGAGGGCATGGGTTCAGTCTCTCGCAGGGTCTCGGACTCGCACTGATGAGCCCAATGCCAGAACGAGACAGTTGTTCAATGCTTCTTGGTTTCCAGTTGTTGTCTAATTAAGATTAGTCCGTGATCTTAATCATTGAATTCAAATATCTACACAAACTCGCTACAGTTTGAACAAATATCCAGAAAACATTCGTGACCAACTATTCATCCATCTTGTTGCTAAGTAGGGGATGATTAACACTAATAGGTTATCCATTTGGAGCAGTCATTCCCTCATTTGATCCAAAACATGGCTTAGGATTACGTGCAGAGCAACATTTCTAAGTAATTAATGATAGTTACTCCTTTCTCATGGTAGAAATGCAGAGAATATATTGTTACGTAGGTTTACACGCCATGGGACCGATTGAAGCCGAAATTGAAATCTTCGTGTTTTTGTTTAATATTCATGTTGTGTTACGTGATAAGGTAATAATCTCAAACTTTCAAGTCCAAATATAAACAAGTTTTATTTACCTATTTTGGAGTTGTTGATTTGTTTTATGGTCCCCTAATTCAATCCAGTTAATCCCCTTGATAAATCACGATAACCCAATTAGAAAACTAAGTTGATCAGCTTAGTCCTAATAAGCTTAGTCATCTGACTGCGTTATTGAGATTCCTGAATTCATTTTCTTTATTTATCTAATGATAACATGTTAAAACTCGTTCTGCATCTAAGCCAATCATTGGAAATTGATTGTATGCTGGACTGGAAAAACTCTAAAGTTAATTGCATTGTTTATGAATTAAGTTCAAGTGGTTTTCACAACATTAACCAGTCTCTGTTCATTGATGTAGTGTATTATATGCTCTGTAGGTTAAAAACATAAAACATAAAATGAACCCCGTTAATTTAGTAATGCTTCACTCACGTTCGAAGTACACTAAATCTGCAGTTTGAGCGAACTCCTAGTGAGTAGAAACTGGAATTTCCGACGTTTCGCAACTCAGTTTAAATCGCTTCTTCAGAGAGCAAATAAATAGCTGAAACAAATTAGCGTGAGTTAACTCTCTGGAGAAGGGACTTAAACTAAGTTGCAAAACTTCAGGAATCCTAGTTTCTACTCATTTGGATATTATAGATGCCCTATTACTTTGGTATTAACAATCTGTCCAATGTTCAATTGATTTGTAATTATTATGCTAAACCTTGGTAATAATACCTAAGTTCTAGTTGCCGCGCCAAATCCGAGCAAACAATCTATTTCGAAAACGGTTGAATGAAGCCTTACATCAACAATTCCACATGCATTTTATACAATAACAGTCCTTATTAGGCTATTTCACATACTCAAGACCGAGTGATGTGAATGAATCATTCACTGAAGTTGTCAGACTCACATCTAAATTACTATTGGTTTTTCGTGAACATTACTTTTGTTACCACACTAAAGTAGGACACTGAAATTTTTGTGACCAATCATATGTCTCATTGGTTAACCAATTGCGTCTAAGTGATCGATTAAACTAATAAGTGTAATCTTATTGGTCCATAGAAAGTAATTTTAAACCCAGGTATTTGGACGGTAAACATTAATTTGTTTTGTTTATGAAATGGCTTGTCTTGTGAGTGAGAAGGTGTACAGTTGGAAGGACACTAACCTTGCACTTTTCGGGTCCGATGTAGAAAGAGCTGTAAAAAGTGAGTATTAAAATATCCATAGCAATAATGACGTCTATCCATATGACCATTTTAGTAATTAGTGGTTTGATCTCGGTTTTTATTTTGTGTTACTTAATGTCTAGTCTTTTGCTATCACTAACGAATTAAGTTTATGATTTTCAAGATGGTAGTAGTAATTATTGGTGCGGTAGAACCATATTTTAGTAACGGCTTTGAGCTGCTTATTAACTATTTCGGAAACAGCGTTCGGTTACGAAACCACTTACGACAAATAACAAGATTTTTAGGGATGCATGGTCCCGGTATGATAGATGAACGAGAAAAGTTTAGAATTATAAATTAAGGGCTCAGACAGAGTCAGGATTGTTCGGCTTAAAAGTTGGCAAACCTGGCGGGACTGGTTTATAGACGGATCAATCGGGTTTAAGGTTATGAATCATGTATTGGTGTGAAATCCATTCGTCAAAATGGCAAGATAACATTTGGGTAGCATGGTTAGTACAGTTTAGTGATGGAAACCATGATTCTAATTCCTAACCCTAATTTCTCACTCTAAATCCTAGTTCTTATTCCTCAAAATAATCCGTATGGTCATCCATAATTTAGGGATTTGACAACATACTTTTATTTATTTTAGTATCTTGACGTTTGTGTTGATAATGAATCTGTTCAGGATGCCAACCGATAGAAATCAAAATGTTTATTGGTTTGTTTGTTATTATTCCACAAACAAGACATGATGACTATTTGCTACATAATAATTAGTTAACAGTGAAGTATTCCGTCATTTACAGCCAGTGGGTGGATCTAATAAATCGGTCAGTTTAAGAATCACCATATGTCCATATCAGACCCGAGTTGTACAGTAGTTGTTGGTGTCAGAAACTACAAATTTCACTGTACTTCTATGAAAACTAAACACTGTATGGACAGTTATAGCGTCATAAAGAGCGGTTTACATAAAATGTTAGCCATTTACATGCAAATGGCTGATTTATTTGGTAAACTGAGGATTTCATTATAAAATGAATAGCCATTAGGAACAACTGGAAAGAACTGCCCAGGACAGAGTTGGGTTGAGAACCCTAGTGGGAAGCCGATGCCCCTCTACGAGGGGTATCAAGAGTAAGTAAATAAGTGAGTTACTAAGCGTACAGCCTATCTCATGTGTGTATGTCTAACTGAAAGTACACTTCGTTTAGTAGTATGGAAATCTAGCTCATCCTATCTGTCATAACAAATGCTAATGCACCTCAACTGTATAGTGATATTAAATCTAGTGGTTACATAAGCTGCTTACTTCACATTAGTTGTTACACCACACAGACGTGTTCCCAATCTCAAAAATAATCCACAATGTCAAACGCGAGACAGGTATCACCAGTGGCAGGGGACATTTGTCGCATATTATTATGAATTGACTGACGTTAGAACTATGAACTATTAAATACCAACTCCGTAGTATCAAGATAACATACTCATCAAGAAACACGGAGGTCCCGGGTTCAATCTTCAGCGGAGTGCTGTGGGTGTACCCCGTTAAGCAGTCATGCACTCAGATAAACAACCATCCAAAGCTCTCTTCTCCAATGCCTGTTTTTGCATAACCAGTTTATGTTGTAAACTACAAAAGTCTCTATGATCGTCTATGCTTTAACCCACTGTTGAAATACGAACGTATCACTGTGATAATTGTAATCATCTGATATTATTCGATCAAACATATATTTTTGAATAGGATATGGAATAACTTAAATCGACAGTCCTTTCTTGATACGATGTTAATGAGTGGAGTTGAAATAAATATCAAACTTCGGTCGCGTATCAAGAGTAAATACTTAAACGAGTGGATTAAGTTTGCATTCCATACTCAATAAAGGAGTCTACGGAACCCTTGGTAGTTTAATATGAATAGTAAGCCAATTTGGTTTTATTTTCTGTTAGCATTCCTAACAACCTTTTCTACAAAAGCATATTTTATCTTTCCCTAAATTACAGGCGTTACATTAAAAGCTTACCTTCATTACAGTTATTGGGTTCAGAATTTTTATAGCAGCGATCACTAAGTAAATTATGTTCTGAATACTAAAAGCTAGTAACCTATAATGATTTTGGTTATATGTTTAAAGCTTAATGGATAAATGAGAAAGTAAAGTGTTGATATATGATTTCCTTGATTTATTTGCAGAGGAATCTGCTGAGAAAGAGCCAGCATGGGGACCGGTACGAAAGATTGCCTCCTCTACTCTAATGGTCTGGCGAATAAAAGTAATTTTCGATGTTTTTACTAGCGATTATCTCTAATAGTTTCTTAATTATTGTATTTGTTTATGTTCTTTTCAGCTTATTTTGGCTTTTTTTTCATAACGACTTAGGTAAAAAGTTAACATGCTAAACTTGATGCACTGTTTCTACATACATACCTTGACATGTTTGCAATCCTGTACGTATTATTGTTAGTGACAAGCATTTATTGTAGCAAGTAGTATACGACAGAGTTTTCGTTCTTTAATTAGGTTAGTTTCGTCAATCCCATTAACTTTGATGTTTGTGATAATGGACTATTATCACACAATAGAAATAGTGTATCAAACCATATATTAGCAATTCACGTATTACTAATTATAGAGGCTTCTTATTTCACCACGAAAATTCTTCGTACATGTTTTTGAGGAAAAATTATTTGAAGGTGGTTAAAATAACTGGGATAAACCTCAATAACAAATTACGATTTCTTCAAAATTAACAAGTTCATATTTGTAATTGTTAGCAATATGACGGATGGTTACTTTCTCTGCCGTATACCACGATACGCTAGATTGGATACTTGGACGGAACCCTATACAGAAACTAGATCACGTTATGTCATATATGCGACGCATGACCAAAAATAGAGAACCAAAGTAAATACCAGACAACACTTTACCCAACATAATTTCAAACAGTCACTCTCAGCGAGTACGGAGTAGAAATCGAATGCAGCAAAAAAAATCATAGTCAGTAGTAGGCTTGATAGCTGTTTGTCCACGCTCAATGACCAATCACATTTCACTCTCGTCACCACACATCGGTTACCTTACACCTAACTGTTAAGTTTCGAAAACTGATACTGAAAACAAGAAATCAGTACGATTCCCACGACACAAGGAAGAAGGCAGAGGCTGATAGTAGGAGCAGATTTATTTGACTTTCCAAAAAAAACAGGACTATCGCTAACGTATTACACTCATTTTGTTTGATTGATTTTACGGGTGTTTGATGATCAGTCATCTGAAATGTATTATAAAATAATTGGGAGGAATACCAAATCAGATTTCGGCACCAACGTTTATACTAAGTACAAGCTGAATATCATACTAAACGGAATTCACATCAATTTAATACAAAAGAATATTATACCGAATAAATGTAACATTGAAGTAAAATGAATGTTATGCCGATTAATTTTCATACTAAATTGAAACAGGAGTAATACTGAATAAGACTGACATTGAGTTATAATGTGATGTAGTAGTAAAACTTATCGAGATGAATTCATCTGTTCGTTTTGGTGTAATTTCTATAAATCGATGTAACTTAGTTGAGAAATTTTCTGGTTTATAAGTGGGTTGAATCACCGCTTAAAATATATTAAGTTCCCATGGAAAACCAGAGAGGACTGTACAACTCCCTGCACATGATAATGTAACCAAAATTTATTTTTGAACGATTAGTTAGTCAAGAACATATCTTGTGAAATGTGCAGAGTTATTAGATACAAAGACAGACTTTAAAAAGCTTTGCCATTCACAAAATTGGTCATTTTGTATATTCTATTCGCATGTTCGTGTTTATTTGATATAGTCTGTTAAAGGTCATAAGGATAATAAATAAATAGTGTTTAAAAAAGTTGATCTCTGATAAATTTAATCGATGTAATGAAAAGTAGTTTTTCATAACTGTATGATATATTAGGTGATAAAATGAAATAAACTCTTGTACATTCGTAATTCATCAACCCAACAATGTTGGTGTAATTAACTTTATCCATTCCACCGATAAGGCAATGTAAGTTTAGAATACATTCGTGTAATAATCTATTAATTTACAACTTCGACTTCACTATGGTGAATGAGACTACTTTATCCTCTTCTTCACTACCCACTAATCAGAGTAAGCAGAGGGATTAAATAACCTTCAAGTTAATTCAGTTATTAATCGATTCAGTGATTATTAACTACAGAATTTGTTCACCTTGTTGTGAACGAGAACACAAGTGGGGATAGTCGAATGTATTCGAATACAAAATTACAGAAAATCTTAGTAAAATCTGAGGACTATTTACAAAATACCAATCAATAGTCCAAGACTTCATTGTTCTTTCGTTTCCACATCAATCATTCTCTGTTCTCGTTCACTTTTCTTCAATCTTCCTAACCTCCTGCCGCCAGGCATTTCACTTTCGATTGATGATACATACTACTTATATCTGTCAATATCAGTAGCACACACCGCAACCTGAGTATTTTTCACTGAACACAAAATCACAATGAAATAATTGATAAAAGGGAAAATGCATTTAGAATAAAATAACTGACTACAACTGAAAATACAATGAATCTCAGTGAATAGGATTCTCTCTAAATAAGTTAGTACAACGAAAATGCATTGAACTCAATTGGATGAAAATCACCTCAGATCGATGTGTAGATTTAAAAGTAATTTCCTTTTTTACACGTTGTGTTTGAGGATATAGCATTCTCAACAATTTATCTACCTTAATCTTCATTTAATCCCCTATCTGTACTATGGAAAATTTTTCCTTTATGATGACATTTAATACTTTTTAATACAAGAACAACAAATTTTAAGGGATCGGGTAAATTCATTTTGTTAATTTCAAACAGAAAATCTAATTTAAGAAAAACGTTCCTCACAAGATTTCATGTGTATAAGTGCATTTTACTGATAACAACATGTGTGTGAAAGTTGTACAACAAAAGAAACATAATTGGCATACCAAATTTTAAAATATTTGTTGTTCTCGCTCCCTACAATTTAACCGTTTGGGACCAATTGTGAGGAATTTGGCAAACTCTCTGTCTCTTCTGAGTATCCTGTTTTGATATTAATGAAAAAGAAGAGCGTCAGGGCACTGATAGAAAGCCATCAAGTAAACAATACTGCATGGCTTCTTAGTAGACAAGTCGAGATACGATGATTCACTGTAGTCTAGAAAATAGAAAAATTATAATGTTTAATAAATCCTTATACATGATAATAAGTTGAAGGATGGACATAACTCATTGATGTTCAGCATAAACAGCTTTCGTCGGATAAAGTGGAATTAGATGTTTGCAGATACACAGTTTTTTTCGAAGTAGTAGCAGGGAAATGAATATATACGTAGGAAGACGCATGTTTTGTTTCCTGTTAAACATTCGGGCAATATCTTTTTCAGGATAAACCACATACTCATAGATCTTTTGTCTATAGAAAAGTCTGAATTATTAACGCGTTGAACAGATAATATACATTTATACTGGATTCGTCCTTGGTGATTTTTTAACATAATATAACGAATCATACAAAATAGAAGATAAGAAAATAAACTAAGCGAATTCTTATTTCATAGTTTAAATACAAAAAGTATAAACAAATATTTTTCTCAGTGTAAATTTTGAGCATGAATGCAGTGTTAATTAAAAACGTCTGTGGATCTAATCACAACCGAAATGTAGTTCAGGAAAGCATACTGAACGACTTACTTGACACCTCACCAAGCAACCAATTCTTACAGCGTCAGTGTAACCTATTTTCTTGTTTTGTGAAGAGTTTATGTAGTCGAATTCTAGAAGAAACAAGTCTTTAAGTTAAATTTCAGATAGCACATGACATCATTATTTAAAGTATTTCAAATAGGAACCAGTCTGTACAGTAATTGGCTAAAACTCCCAACTTGGTTTATTCATGCCATGTAATAGTTTGAATTAGAACGTGAACTAGGGGAAATTCTGCGTCATTACTTAACATGCTATAACGTTAACATAAAATGTGTAATCAACTGCATTGGTCTGTAAATTCATCAGAAGTTTATCTAGGGATGGATGTGGGTTCCTGATACAGACCGTTATAAATAAGAGATCTATAAGTTTTTAAGTCATTTGGATAATATATACCCACACGGATTTTATATGGGAATTTGCAAATCAACTTCAGTCGAAACAAACGAAAAACCTTGATATAGTTTCTTTTAAGTAAAACCTGAAGAATAGTGCATTTTATTGGGTAAATGATGAATACTTTGGAGTGAATTAAGCTTACCGTCTTCAAGAAGGTGGGATTCTTTGGATTTATAAAGGTGGGTTCTGTATACTGATCAACAGGGATTAAAATACCGAATCAGCTTGTTACTTTGTGACGTCAGCCCTTCCTCACCTGTCTCTGTTGCTCACTTTATACTACTTACTAATAAGCAGTAGTTCGCGCCATATTTAGTCATTCTCATAGCTTTTAACAATGCCGGGTGATACTTCTTTAACTTAACAAACCACTTACCTCATTCGTCTATCTCTATATTTGCGTCCTGGTTCGTTCTTTTAGTCGTATTATTGTTCTTTCTTTTTCTTTTATAAAATACCTTTTTAAAAGGTTGCTTTTGACCTCTTGTCTACTTTCAATATAGACTAATTTATTTCTTTTAATCGTTGGTATTCCCGTTTTATATATCCAAGAACTCTCTGATTTGTATCATTTGCAATAATTTTAGTATCACTCAGTTATTTGAAGCTTGCACTTTCGCCTTGGCCATGCACTTATCAGCATAGTTTACTTTTGGCAATTTCCCGACTAGAGGTTTGTAGATTCTGAGCAGCGTTTACTAAGCTTTCCACAACAAATTTGTCCTCTCAGATAAAAATTGTCTTTTTCGGTATCTTTGGGCATAACTTGGCGTTTCGATTTGTACGAATAATTCTTTCCGTTGATAGTTTTCCTAAGCAAGGTTCCAAACTGTTTAACAGTCTTGTCCAGGCTACAGTCAAGCAGGTAGTCTATATATACCCGTTTGTTCTTTGGTCTTTTGAAGACACTAAAAAGTTCTATTTACCCGTTTAGGAACACAGCATAAACTGAATTCATTAAGTAGCGATGATATGTACTGTGCATTGATTTTCAATGGAGGTCGGTTACACGCTCTTTAGATAGTGTTAATCTATATCGCTATATGTGAATCAACTAATAATAGTCGAGTTAACCCCCCACTACCTAAGACTCATATGGTCCCAAAATGTTCATCACTCTTACCCTTTTTATTTGACCAAAAATCATGGGATCTCATCAGTCACAGAAACACGACCAATCCTTGTTATCGACTCATTTTTTTGTTCATGCTACTGTTCAGTATGCATGTTCTTATCGTTCTCTTTGTAATTCAATACTATTTCCCTTTTTTGTACTAACTGTAATGTTTCCAAAATCCTGCCACCAGTTAACTGTTCTTCAGAAAGTGCGTTCGACAGTTATTGTATTACTAGCCCGAGACTTCAATGCTCAGGTCGGGCGTCTAGGCACAGAAGAGAATCGTTTAGGTGGCCGATGGGGACTTGCTGGTCGCAGGACAGATCACGGGGACCGCCTACTGCAACTGCGCACAGACCACAACCTATTTCTAGCTAGCACTAACTCTCGGCACAGTCATCGCCGATGTGCCACCTGGCGTCCTCCCTCTGCATCTCAAGCCTGGATTCAGATTGATCACAACGCGATCAGCTACCACTGGAGTGGTTGTGTACAAGACTGCCGCTCCTTTTGGAGTACCTATCTGGACTCTGATCATGCCCTGGCTTGCGTCATTGATTGGTGTCAGCACATTGGTTGCAACTTCTGTTGTAAGTAAGTTTCGAACCGAACTAGCTTCTAGGCTAGCTACCATTCCACCGAAAAGTATAGATGGGCATTAGTTGCATCTGCATGACGCCATCAAAATGGTGAGTAAAGCCGCTTGCGGCTTCGCGAAACGTCCCGCTTATAAGCACTGGGTTTCTTCAAGCTCCTTACAACTCATTGAAGCCCGTCGATCTACTCCGGGTGACCGTGAGTTTGACCACAAACGAAAGCTGTTACGTAACGCAATCGGGCAAAGCTTGCCCCCAAATGCTCTGGTACGGCCGAGAGTGGGGAAAGCCCACTCTCCCTCTCCAAATGCTCTAACATGGCCACGCTCATACAACCACTGCCAGGAAAGTCCTACTCACTGCCTTCTCGAAGCATTACTTTTATTTACGAAATTGAGAGAACGAAAAGCGAATGTCCGGCGCTTTAACCGGGTTAGTGGACATGGAGAGTCCTCCTAGGGGAGTTGGAAAACCCTGATTCCAAACCAATGGTGCACATGGGCTCCAGTATCCTGAGTGAACAAATGGCGTATGAAACAATTGTTGGTCACCGGCTACCATGGGACTGCATCTCCTTACGATGTTCCACTACTTTGTGGATCAGACCTTCAGGTCGAAGGCTCCGGGTGTGTCTCCCTAAGAAAACCACCTGCTTCGGTCTGGGCACCCGGGCAGTATCACAGCTCTCACACATATCAAATGAGATTTGTGTAGCACATATGTATTTGGTGCCTCCTTATACCAATATCTATGTGTTAAAATAAATAAATAATAATAATAAGGCTTGCGTAAGGACCGAGAAGCCTGGTGGTCGGAACGTGCTAATGAGCTGGAAGCGGCAGCTGCATCTGGTAACTACCGGAAGCTCTTTCAACTCATCCGAGCCACTGCCAGCAAGAAGTCTAGTGTGAGCGAAACAATCTGCGAGGATGATGGGATGCCAATCACTAACATCCATCGATGTCTTGGACGATGGGCGAAATTCTTCGAAGGGCAGTTCAACTGGCCTGCTGCTCCAGCAACATCGTTCAGACTGTCCTACCCTCCATGGCCGGTGACGACTGATCCACCAAATGAGGCGGAAGTCCGCAAGGAACTCCAACTCTTGAAGCTCTACAAATCACCTGGCCCAGATGACTTACCTCCGGCTCTTTTTAAAGATGGTGGTGACTTTCTGGCTAAGGAACTAACTGTGTTGTTTACAAAGGTCTGGGAGCTAGAGAGTGTACCAACGTCATGGAATGAGTCGATAGTTTTCCCTATCTTTAAAAAGTGTTCACGTCGTTCCTGTAACAACTATCGGGGGATAAGTTTACTTCCGATTGCGTCCAAGCTATTGGCTTCTGTCATACTTCGTAGGTTGTTCAAAACCCGAGAAAGATTGACTCGCGAGGAGCAGGCTGGGTTTCGTTCTGGTCGAGGATGTATCGATCATATCTTCACCCTACGCCAAATGTTAGAACACCGCCATACTTATCACAGGCCAACAAGCGTAGTGCTAATTGATATCAGGGCTGCCTTCGATTCGTTGGACATGACTGTTCTCTGGGATTGTCTATGGAAGAAGGGTGTGCTTGAGAAGTTTATTAACATCCTGAAAGCTCTATATAAAAACACCTCAGGCAGAGTGAGGGCATACAACCACCTCTCTCCATTGTTCCATTCGAGCAGTGGGGTTAGGCAGGGTTGCCCAATCTCACCATTCCTCTTCAACTTTGTCATCGATGACATTCTGGAAACAGCTCTGATGAATGTAAGTAATGGTGGTGTGGATCTGTTGCCTGGAGAAAGACTTCTCGACCTTGAGTATGCGGACGATATTGTCTTACTGTGCGATAATGCCCAAGCCATGCAATCCACAATTAATCAGTTGGCAATCAGTGTCCGTAGGTACGGTATGTGCTTTGCACCTTCGAAGTGCAAAGTACTTCTACAAGACTGGCAGGATTCTAATCCTGTACTCACCTGGATGGTGAGCAGATAGAAGTAGTCGAGTAGTTTGTGTATCTAGGTAGCTGCATAAGTGCTGGTGGTGGCGTAAGTGATGAGATCGGTTCATGTATAGTGAAAGCCAGAGCGACTTATGCTAATCTGGGCCGTCTTTGGCACCTTCGTGATGTTAGTCTGGCTGTAACAGATCGGATCTACAACGCGTCGGTGAGAGGAGTTCTGCTCCATGATTGTGAAACCTGACCTCTCCGAGTTGAGGATGTTAGACGTCTCTCTGTGTTTGATCATCGTTGTCTCTGAAGGATTGATGACATCCAGTGGCAACACCATGTTAGTAATTCAGAGGTTCGGCGTCGTGTGTTCGGGCACAGAGACGATAATGCAATTGTTGTCACCATCTTTTTCTCCCCATTCTCATTGTTTTGTGTGGCGCATATTTTGTGCCCCCTTGTACCAATATTTATGTGTTCAAATAAATAAATAAATTCCATAATATAAATATGTGAGCTCATATCGTATTATAATTTCAATTACGTGAGTGTTTATATGAAAGCAAATGACAAAATACAGAAAATCTGTTATAAAATTAACCTTATTAATATATCAGTGAATAAAAATGTTAAATATTACTAAATACTGTGTACTATATCTTTAGAATTTCCGGTTAGAAGTTGTTCGAGGTGAAGACATTGGCAAATTTTTCCGCGGTGATTCCTATATTGTTTTAAATACCGAAAAAGTTGGTGATGAACTGTTGTATGATGTTCATTTTTGGATTGGACGTGAAAGCACTGCGGTAAGTTTATGTGCTCACATACTTACTTACTTACACCTGCTACCCCCAATAGAGCATAGTCCTCCAACCAGTATTCTCCAGCCCACTGTCCTGGGCATTCTTTTCCAGTCCTACCCGATTGTTGCTAATTCTTCTCATGTCTGTCTCCATTTTTTGGCGTAATGTGTTTTTTGGTCTTCCTCTCTTCCTTTGGCCTTGGGGATTCCATGTGAGGGCTTGCCTTGTGGCGCAGTTGGATGATTTCCTCACTGTGTGTCATATCCACTTCCAGCTCTCCCTGATTTCTTCCTCCACTGGCATCTGGTTTGTGTTCTCATACAGTAGATTGTCGCTAGTAGTGTCTGGCCAACGGATCCGAAGTATTTTGCGTAGACAACTGTTAATAAACACTTGTATCTTGTGAATGATTGCTTTTGTAATTCTCCAAGTTTCCACCCTGTACAGTAGAACTGTCTTGACATTTATATTGAAGATTCTGACTTTGCTGTTGGCTGACAGTTGCTTTGAGTTCCAGATGTTCTTCACTTGTAAATATGCTGCTCTTGCGCTGCCGATCCGCCCCTTCATATCTTCATCAGATCCACCGTGTTCATCAATGATGCTACCCAGGTATGTAAAGGTTTTTACATCTTCCAAAGCCTTTCTATCAAGTGTGATTCGCTTGGTTCATGTTGTTTTGTATCGGAGATTCTTGCTTTTGCCTTTGTGTATATTGAGACCTACTTCTGTTGAGGCTGCTGCTATACTGGTCATCCACTGCATTTGTTGTTGCGTGTGTGATAGATGAGTCAAATCATCTGCGAAGTCTTGATCGTCCAGCTGCATCCTAGCTGCCCTCTGTATCCCGTGTTTATATATATTTTAGATATAGACAACCTGACCTAGTTGTTTTAAAAAAATCAGTATGTCGTAGATAAAGTTAATCTCCAATCAGTAATTTCTAGTCACAATTTACCTAAGGATCAGACAGAATTATGTTTGTTTTTTTGCTAAGTGAATCAGCATATGAAAATTTAGGTTTTTCTGGAATTTTGTGACATTTTACCAATTTGTCTCTAAGTAATTCTCATGGTAGTTATGTTCAAATAACGGGAAATGACGAAGGCAGCCACTGAAACACTGAATATTTCTCAGGGGTTTCTTCACAAAGACTTTTTAGGTTTCCTTAAATTCCGACCACGTATTTTTAAACTTCATACTTTAACGGTATCGACGGTCTACATGGCCACTATTAATCCTTGAAATTCACTGTGCTATGGAAATTCTACCCAACTTTAAAGATATTATCAGGAAGTGTTGATAACAAGTGTATGTTTTTAATGTTTTACGACGTTAAGTAGCATTTTCATCCTAGTTTACGAAATCTCAGCAACACTCACGCTCACATAATGGTGTTCATTCTATTCTCAATCATAAGGTTTACAACATACGACCTAATCTCCTTGAACATCAAAGTATTGGCGCTATTTGAGCCTGTTGATTCTAAACTTAGTCTAGCAGAGGTTGCGGTTCTAACATGTTCAATGACGATCAGAATTCATTGATGGGTTTTTTTCTTATTGTTGATGATTCCAAATTATGTCTTAGCATACGGAACTCTTGATACATATGTAAGTATCTAATCAGAAATATTAATGGCATAGTTTGGAGGGTTTGAAATCCATATCATAGTAACTAATGTATCAGAATAAAATAGATTAAAGTATTGGTTGTCTAAAGTACTGTTTAAGCAGCAGATGACAGAAACACCTTGGGATATGTTATAACTTAACTTTGAACACAGTTTAGTGTATTTCAAAGAGACGTTTTCCTAAATGAACTTGGTCATTTACAACAGATACAATTCAGTAAGTTTTACTAGGTATGCATTTCCATCACATTCAAAACAAAATGACAGCTGATAAGGGGACGTTTGGAAAACTAACTAATGAAGAAATAAGCAATTATTATTAATTCATACATCATCCATAATTACAAAGCTGTACTGGAAAATACATTCATTGGTTGTAGCTTAGTTTCTAATTTTTATGATATGAAAATCAAAATTTTAACCCATTTTAGGATGAATACGGAACAGCGGCTTATAAAACGGTTGAATTGGATACTTTTCTTGACGATAAAGCAGTTCAACATCGAGAAGTTGACGGATTTGAGTCTGATTTGTTTAAAACTTATTTTAATCGCTTTGAGTAAGTTCAGTGTAAATTTAATTTTGTTGGCTAAACATCATTATAAATCTTTGCTCAAATTCACTTGATAAATTTCCCAAAAATATGTTTTCAGAAAAACCGTTTAACTCTGTTTTATACGTCATTAGGCGATGAAAATCTTTAATTTGGACATCAAGATTTGTAAAACTGAAGAAGGAAAAGCTTACTTATCAGTTGGACGATTTCGTAAAGTAGACTAACGTTGAAGTTTTTTCTAGTTTTATATTTTATGTACACCCGTCTATTTAGTTGGAGACTAAGGTTCGATGCCATGGTTCATGCTATTTAGGACTTACTAGTTTACTGTGACATTCACTGATCCCAGTGAGACTGGGATTCACGAAATTCCAAGCCATAAGCAGATGGGTTTTCATTAATGTGTTCAGGCTATAACCAACCTACTGAAGTCACTAGTTGAGTTACATGTTACATTATCTAGTCCATGGTTCAGACTGAATTCCATCAATCAAGTATTATTATTATTATTATTATTTATTATTATTATTATTATTATTATTATTATTATTATTATTATTATTATCTTATTTTGATAGAATAACGAAAAGACGTAATCGATCTGAAATGTGTGGTGTATTTGCGATGTACATTTTGAACAGTCTAGTCACACATACTTTTCAAGGCAGTCGGTACGAAAATTCATAATGATTTACTTGAACTTTCATTTAATTGGCCTTTATTAATTTTCACCTAAAATGCCTTGAGAAATATATTAGTGACCAGATTGTTCAAAATGTATAGCACAAATACATCACACTTTTAGGATCAACTTTGTTTTTTCACTGTCCTATCAAAAATTATAAAAAGGACCAATTGCTTTAAATATTTTGTATTTGGTGGCGAAACATAATCGATAGGAAGTTTTGTTAGTTATCACAACTGGGGTTTTTCTGCAGTATGGCAGGAACTCCTATTAGTTTTATTTCCTTTCATGTAAATTACTTTATCAGAAACACTTTATTGTGATGCCCGAAGAGGTCAATACAATGAACTGTTTTAAGAAATTAGTAGTTACGATTTCTTCATTTAAGTGTGAATAGTAGTACCAATATTTTTAAAACATTTTGTCCCAGATGTACGTCTCTTCTTGGGATTCTTTAACTAGGTGGGATGGGATCCCAGTATTGGTGTTCTGATTAAGACTTTCATTTGCCCATTTTTTTAAACAAAATCACATTACCTATCATGTTAATGTGTAACGATAGCCACCAGTGATTTAATGTAAATGGAAAGAGTAATTCTGATGTGCAGTTACATCCAACGGATGGGCCTTGAGATAGTTAGTCCCAAAGTTGAATTTTAATTATTCGTTGGAACTTTAAGTTCAATTACTGAAAGATTTAAAACATAATTTTCAACGGAATGCCTTCGAGGTACTAGGGAAGCAATTTTCATCAAACTTTCAATCTCAACAGATATTCATGTGTAAAAAGATGCATGCAGCCAAAAGAACGAACAAACACATGCTGTAGTACCACATCGCATAGCTTTATGCTATAAATATGTTCACTTTTAAAACAATTAGTCCCTTTGATAAATTTGTATAATGTGATGAGAAGACGAAAGTTATCAGAATTAGGTGATACACTTACGCAATATATTTGGAACAAACTGATCACACACGTACTTCCTAAGACATTACGTATGCAAAAATCAAAGGTCAATTCGACAAACTAAAAGGTAAGGGGAACAAAGATAATAATGAAGTACACAATGTGAAGACCGCGCTGAATAGTAGATCGGTATTATCAGGGTTGGTTAAGAGTAAGAACAAATTGCTTTTGAACACATAAAAGAGGTTTCAGTTTTCGTATAGTTAATGTCTCAATAAACTTCAATCTTCTTTCGTGGAAACTTTTGTACAAAATTGCAGAAGCTGACTTGATATCAATCTTATGATCGGTTTCAACCGAATGTTTCGCAATGGAGTTAGATTTCGTCTATTGCGCGGCATTTCTGACCATTGGAATTCATTCGTTTTAGTATCCACTTAGGTGTGTGCATCCATCCCTTACTTTCAGATCGCAATTGCTCCTCCCTTTGTACATGTTTCTGCACATACATGTAAATTGATAGGCGCAATGGGATGTGGTAAAATCGCTTACATGCTGTTTGCGTTTTGGCGAAAAATAAACTTTGACCTTTCGATAATGATAAATTGAGCTGAGTAAAATGTCCGGTTGATAGCTAATTTAAGTATTCGTTTCAACATGAGAAGTATTTGAATCGCCTCTGAATGTAGGATAATATAGACACGCTTTTGGGTGCAGAAAACATTGCAAGTCTAATCATGTTGCTAACTTTCCAATGGTTTATGAACTTCAGTAAATAACCGTTATTTATCAATGTTTCATTTAAAAGCTTGAAGTCTTCCTCAATAGTATCTCTAGTGCACATACGATTGATCCTATTGAATAAGCCCTTTATTAATACAAACTCGTACTAGACTGGATAGTGACTATGGTAACTAAGATATTGTTCCGTCCATGTCGACTTTCCATAGACAGAACGTTTGATGGGACCATCTCTTATACTAATCAGTATATTTAGAAAAGGGAGCTGATCGTTCAAATCTTCGCATTTAAGAGAAATATCCTTTTGACTTGTGCTGAGTTCACCTAACAAGCGGTTCACATCCTCATGTTTATCACTAGTGACTATGATGTCATCCACGTACCGCTTATAAAGACACGTCTTCTAAATTGAATCTTCAACTAGGGTTCCCACATACCCCATAAGTACATTAGGCAGCAATAGATCTAAAGGACTACCTATAGTGATATATGTATTGGGATTGATTGGGAGTGAATTGACATTATTATTATGATTACAGAAAGATTTTTCCAGATTTTTTCTGATCCATTCTTCCTTTTTCAAAATGACAGTACTTCAAAAATCGATTAATTTGATATGTTAGACATTTCTGTTTATGCAGCCAATGCTTGAATATGCAGTTCAGTTAATGTGATTAATCCATCTTGGCAATTATTTACATACCATTTTGTCAGTATAATAAGATGAAATATTTGGTTGTGATTTACTTGGACGTAAATTCTTTTGTAACTGATTTGGGGATTTTTCACTTGGCAAACAGGATTTGAAAAGTCTAGCTCCACTCGTTCAGATATAATTTTGCACACAAGTTTAACAAGTTCATCTAACCTTTAAATAGGGATTCTTCTTTCCAGATGTTGGGGTGATCCAGAAATCGCTTGCAAAAGACAAGCAAGCATCAAGAAACACTAAGTGTTTCGTCCAATCAGCGTTCATTTGGAGTCTTGGCCAGAAATATCAAGGTAGCGAAACGTCACATGCGGAAGCTCTGATTGGTTTGCTACTACAGTGCTACTATGTTTGGTAGCACTCCAGAATATTCCAGGGACCCAAGGACGTTTAGATATATTATAAAAACCCTATATTTTCTGTAATAAAATGAACCTCGGAGTAAAGTATTTTCTCTCATACTTGCGTCTCCTCTCTGGTGTTCAAGTCTCTGTGCAGTTCTAGCTTTCGGGGTACCAGAATAGCTTAGGAAACTAATATAGCGTTCAATCGATACGAATTATCGCCAGAAATTTAAAACAATTAGTCCTTTTAATAAATTTAGATAATGCGATAAGATGGCCACCAGAATTATGTGATATATTTACATTTCGAACAATTGATTGCAATCGGTCATAAGGTTGATATCAAGTCAGCTTCTGCAATTTTGTACAAAAGTTTCCACGAAAGAAGATTGAAGTTTATTGAGACATTAACTATACGAAAACTGAAACCTCTTTTATGTGTTCAAAAGCAATTTGTTCTTACTCTTAACCAACCCTGATAATACCGATCTACTATTCAGCGCGGTCTTCACATTGTGTACTTCATTATTATCTTTGTTCCCCTTACCTTTTAGTTTGTCGAATTGACCTTTGATTTTTGCATACGTAATGTCTTAGGAAGTACGTGTGTGATCAGTTTGTTCCAAATATATTGCGTAAGTGTATCACCTAATTCTGATAACTTTCGTCTTCTCATCGCATTCTACGAATATTGGCTTTTCCTTGAACTAAAAGGTATCTATTTTACCTTGACCAGTTCTCAGATATCTCTTCTTTCTCATTATAATTCTAGAGATTAATAGTTAAACACTGACTACTTTATTGGTTTAAATCATGTGGCTGCTCAGAAAATTCACATTGATGCAAATATCTCCATCATAAGTATAATTATTTTTGTTAATCAACAATTTCATTTAGTGATATCCCCCCTCTTTAAATAATCTTACAGATGTAAACAAAAAAACACGTGTTCTATTCTACGTGGAAGTAAACTGGTTATATGTTAATTAGTTGTTGTGTATTGCATTTCGTTACTCAGGGGGTGTTATTTACTAACACTAAACATGATAAGACTATCTCATTTAGTCAACAATAAAAGAGAGACTGTTATTAAGTTAAAACAATGTTATTCTCTAACTACATAGATAAATTGTAAAGCTTTATAACATATTGTTAATGACATGTTGATCTCCAATCAAAATCAGTGGTAGTTTACTTTAGTAATATTATCGATTTGATTTGATTGCATTTTATGAGATCTTATTGGTCTTCTGTTTGTGTAGTGTATCAAAATTGTCAGTAAATTTAATTATTTATTACTCATAAAATTTCTTTGAAAATTTTACTAATGTCTCAATTCCTGAATGAAATTGACAAGGTACCAAATGAATTATTATTAAGAATTTTTCAATATCTTAATGGAAATGATTTAATAACTTGTACATTATGCAATCAACAATGGAATGATTTAATAAGCAATGACAAATATATATGGTTGTCTATTTTTGAAACTGAAATGAATACTGGTTGGTTATGGTTGAATAAAGAAATGGTTCATATATTAAACTCATTTAATTTGATACATAAAAGTTTATTGATAGAATTCAATGAAAATAAATCAGTGGATAAAAATGATCAACAGAAATTTAAAAACTATCGAAAAATCACTGAACTAATCACACAAGTATTGAATAATCCTGCTTGTTTTATGAAAAAAATATATTCATACTACACTAACGTATACAAAATGGAACAAGAAATATTACAAACACGGATTATTCCCTATTTAAATTCAATGAATAATGAAGAGATTTGTTTTGATTGTATAATATTAGGACCAGCTATTGATACAGTTCATTTAATTGGAGGATTTATGCATACACTTTTAAGTTGGATAGATTTAGCTTTAACAATGAATAGACAATCCATTAATTTAGAAAAAATGCATAGAACTACTACTCCATGGGCTGGACAAGGATTTATATTACGTTTACCACAATGTTTATCATTAAGCGATAAAGAGGACTCTATGGGTATACTTTTTAATGCAACAATTTTACATTCACGTAAGCATATGATACGTTCTAGGTATCGTTATGGTGGTAGTCGATTGTTTGGTAATTGTTTAGTTGAAGCACCAATAACCGATCAACAACCAGTTGGTAGTGTAAAATTGACTCATTGTACTACTAATGCAATTAGTTCAACTCAAATTGTGTTCTATGTTATTGATATACGAAAAGAAGATAGTGGTTTGTTAAACAATGAAAATGGTGATACTATATCTCTTATAAATCCATATAATTCTGATAATGAAAGATGGAATGAAATACGCGTTGAATTAGATGCTTTAACAAATTGTATGAATTCAGAACAAATATTAATTGTCTTAGGAGTTGGTAGTCAAAACGATAATATAAATAATTACAATCTTATAGAACTTGCTTCAAATCTTGGCTGTGATCATGGTATTTGTTCGGAAAAATTCGTTTGCGATGAGAATGATAACAATCATGGGAATATTGACGCTAATCTTGTTAAACCATTATTGAATAAACCACACATAAATTGGAGATTATGGTGTACTTCAGTAAATGAATTAACTTATACCAATTTGGAAGAGATTTTTTTCTGGACAGCTATAACTTATTTGGATAAATCACATATTGTTAAAATGATTTCAACTGAATCGTTAACAAAGCAAATTAAAACTATTCGAAATAGTATAACTAATTATTATCGTGTACTTTCGACTGATAAATAGCAATGGGATTTCCCATAATTCCTTGCTATTTATTTTTATTATCTTGTTTTGTAGTGACATTCTTTTGAGAAGCTTCTTTTGTGTATAAATCTATCAAAAGTTGTTTGTACTTCATAGCTTGTTGTTTTTTTTTCTTAACAATAATGTAAATTCTTCCTGAAACTATTCTGTACACCAATCCAGTTCTTATTTTCTTACAAAATAAAACTGAATTACTTATGTTGGCTAATGCTTCGTCAGGATGTATTCCACAACTTCAATTCTACACAAAATAATCATATTAATATCTTGAGACTGGCTGAAACAATTGTAAACAAATAGGTCATCACCATGATCTATGAATATACATTCGGAAATCAATATAAATTCGCACGAAAATACCTAGTTCTCTGTTATTTTCAGTTTTCATAGGAAATTGTTTGAATCATATGAATAAAATGAAAATCATGATATATCGATTTTTTGTTTTTAGAAAAATATAATCATCCATTTTTGAGATGGTAGAGGAGATTTGTAGCTTAGGTGAATGATTTGGGTGGGGTTTCTTTTCTCTGAGCTGGAGAGAACAAAACTGCAAACATCAATTTTGTCCACATATTAGTGTTTGTGTGTAATGGTTAAAATATTTGTCTTATTGTTTAAGTAGATATTTTTGGGATGGTTAAAATCATGACAAACCGGTGTGCAAGAAAATAGTTCTGAATAAAATGATAATATTGGTTTAGGATTATAACATTTTTAGTTAGTCACTATCTTAAAGTTTAGAATTATGTTTAGTTAAGCATTTCGTTTGATGTCTGCCTTTATCAGGTCTATGGATATATCATGTTTAATTTACTTATGCCATATGTCACTTAATATTTTTCATCACCAATCACAGTATTGATATTCTGATGAATATAGAGATTTTCACTAGACTTATGATTTTACAGTTTGGTATAAATGTACAACTTTGAGAAAAAAAGATTGACAAACAACAGTTTTTTTTAGTCATTCAATTAATTCATTAGTTATTTAATAGAAATATTAATTTTGATTGATTTATATGATCACATCGTGTTACAAAGACCTGAACGTTGAATTTACCGAATGTTTGTTCAACTAGTAACCAATTTATTTTTAAGCTAAACGTTTGTATTCTTGTAGCTACATTTTGATGTCAAACAAACTATCCGATATTTGGTTCCTCATAGATACTCAACAGGGCATTACATTGTGGGAAAATTTAATATTTTGGAGATTTTAGTGTTTTCTCTCCAACTTTCTATTTTCATTACACTTTAGTCGTAAGTGAAAAGATCATATGATGAAAAAAGTTTATAAATAATTACGTAGTTATGATTAAAAACACGATATTCTTATCAAATTTCATGGTCTGATAAATCATTAGCAACGGAATGCAAAAACTCAAAGATAAATGAGATTGTGCAATGTGTGTTTGTGCTCAGTGATAATAATTCAACCATTATCACCATCTTGAAACAGCAGCCTCTGTAGTTTTTTCATGTGTAGCCAAAGTGATCCTGGTGACTTCCGCACCGGACATTATTAGCCGACTCTTGGACTTGTCGGGGAAGACAAAGAAGTGGTCAGTTTACGACATGTCTCTGTAGTGTTTTAGAGATGGTACAGCTCAAGAACTTCAGACACTATCGTACATGGCTCAAAACAGACGCCATTGGCGATCTTGCTATAGTTTTCGTTAAAATTCTTTATAAAAATATTAGAAACTGGACGAATTCTTCTTGGTCATATTTTTATTGAACTGTTACTTTTAATTCATTTATTTTTATGCATTTATCTGCTTTTAACTATACACCTTCCTCTTTCTCTTCACTATTTCATTTCCCTTATATACGTTGGTCTCCAGTTGTACCCGTATTTTTGCATGTTAAATAAACATATGATTTAATGATATGTAGAGAAGTAGGTTTCTAACCTGTTGCAAGGCGATAAACACGTGAATTTGTTTGAATTGCTAGCGATAACTTAATGAAATAGGTTCATCATGAAAACCTTTTTAAATTCATTGCTTTCTGTCTTTTTTTTTAAAAAAATAATCTAAATATAGAACTCTTGCAGGTGGATATGCAAGCGGATTTAATCATGTAAAACCGAACGAATATAGACCTCGTCTTTTACTGTTTCATTCAGTTGATCGTAAAAATATGGAATTGATTGAAGTGCCATTTTCAAGACGTTCTTTGGATTCAACAGATGTCTTTATTTTGGATATGGGTACTGAAGCATATCAGTGGAATGGACGTGGGTGCACTAAAGAAGAAAAATTCAGGGTAAGGCCATTAATGTTTTTATATATGAAAGTCATCATCAATCTGTCAAGATCCACTTAAGGAAAATGCAATATGTCACTACCCAATCTTTGATTTCCTCAAGTTGTTTACATAGCTAGTGTTTATACGAAACTATATGACTGATTTGTAGCACTTATAGTCTGTTATCTCTCCTTTGTACATCAATTTTCATAGTGTTACTTTTTTGTTCTTGTTTAACACAATTATTTTCTCGTGTATATAATGTGTTCTCATGTATCAGTGCGTTTCATAATTGCAGAATTTGATTTACTTTTTGGTGTTGACTCAGATTAATTTTTTTTTCAACTGTACTATTTGAGTAAACTTATGTACCCGAAAATGAAGAACGTTAAATGCAAAACTCATCAATGCATATATATTCAGCAAGAACACTGTGTCATAAGAATGATTTCATCTTGTCATCAATCTATGCAAAAGATAGGACACGTAATTGCAAAAGATTACCATAATCTTATTTTATATAATTTATTGACAATAGAATAAATTACAGGTTGTATTTAATACTTTTCCACATTTCAATATGTCCATGTAAAGAAATATTGAAACAAGAGTATAATTATCTGTCGTCACTCATTCGTCTGTATATAAGCTCTAATTGTTTTCTAACTAAACCTTAATGATAAGGTAAATAACTATTTATGAACACTTGAATCAATAATATACTGAGATAAATAGATTAACTTAATGTTGATGTCTTTGTATTTCATATAGGTTAACTGATTGATTATGTTGTAAGCAGTTATCAAGAATATTCTGTTTATTGGTCGGTTTTGATTCCAAAGGGTCAAATAATAATAAACACCATTACTCGATAAGTGATATTATTAAGTGGATAGTTCAGTACAGAGATCTATTCACTTGCTCATAAGGAAGTCATTTATCCATATTTCTACTAGCCATTAATGCTGTCGTAAGGCCTTTACCTCCAAAAACGTAAATTACACATTTTACATTTGGTATTGAACAATTATGAAGATCAGTTCTGAACTAAACTCAAGATGTAGTTTCTCAACTGTGCATTCGGTATAATAATGAAGATAGATGAGGTCTATTATACTGTTTAAATTTATGTTACGAATAACAGATCAATGATATCGTTATTCATATTTCCAAAATACTCGATGTATTTTTAGTGGGTTAAAAGTTTAATTGGTAAAGTTTGTTATTCTTGATGTTATTCAGGCAAGTCAGTTTTTACAACAACTGGAGTCTGATCGAAATGGAAGGTGTAAAACTGAGGTGACAGATGAAGATGGTTCTGAGGAACATGTAAGTTGCTTATTTCTAAAACATCTAATTGTCTTGTCAGTAGACGTAAAAGTCACTTCAAAGTGTGTTTTCTGCTTTGTTGTATAGATGTTTACGAGAATTCATTAACTTAGTCGGCGTAGTCTAGTCATACTCATGTTTTTAGAGATATTAACTTAGGTGAGTGTTATAACTTGGAACCCACTAACCAATATCACGTGCCTAGTTACCATTCAGAATCTTTCTAATTTGGTCTGTTATTTACTCTGTAGTTTAGTGTTTTTAACTTGGCTAAATACACTGGATAAGCAATAATAACCCCAAGTCAACAACTAAGTTCCTGTTGCCTCACTATTTACTAGCTCCTCTCTATGTCCTGTATTTGAGTTCATAAGTCAACAACCAGCCTCTACCATATCTGTATTTCAAACAAACGTGGTTTATATACAGGCATATATAACTTCACCATACCATAATATAAAAAATAAATTATACGCAAACAAGCCAAAAGTGGCTGTGAGTAGGGGAGACTGTAAATAATCGACTGGAAACAAAATAGGAATAGTCAGTCGTATGACACTAGTTGATGAGTTAACTGAAAGCTTATACTAAACAGAATACATAGACACAGTAATCCAGTCTCTTGATAATTAGGGATATGTATAATAAGGATGATACATAAATTAGCTCTGAGAGCTTCCATTTCTTAAATCTTCGTTCAGACATAACAAAATTCATGTATGATACGTGAATAAGCCAAAAGTGGCTGTGAATAGGGGAAACTGTAGGTAACAGACTGGCAACAATTTAGGAACAGTAGGTCGAATGACAGTAGTTTATGGGTTAACCAAAAGTTTATAATCATAGGAAAACATACATAGTAATCTAGTCATTCAGTAATTACTGAACAAAAAGTAAAATCAATAATAGTTCTAAAAACCGTTTCCAACTTCTAAAATATTCGTTCCGTTATAATAATAAGATAATAAAGTACCATATCGAAATGAATCATGCTCATAGTAACTGTAGATGCCATAAGAGCCATGACAGCATTATCACTACTAGTCACCTGATATCTGCATTGTATGGATTATAAGTGTTTTTGAATTTTCATCCATCAGAAACGAAAGCATTATGATGGCTTTGGAGATTTCACGCTTTTTAGTTGACGTAGTTATCATAATCATATTAGATGTTAACAAAGCGTATTTGCGATTCTTCAATACAACATATTGGTCTAAAGGTTAAGGGTTTGTGTACAAAACTGAAGTTCTATCCCTGGTAGTGGGGTCGTGAATGTGTACTCCCGGGTTGTTCTATACTTCGATAAAACGAATGTCTAGTGCTTTCCAGTTTTCAATGGTGGTTTTAACCAAGATCAGTTCATGGTTTACATTATGGGAAGCCTACAATCTCCACAAACCCTCCATACTAAAAAGGAATTTACATTTCAGCTATGATATTGAGACAGTGTGTTATAACTTAAATTAACTAAACAACAAGTTTTTCAGTACCCCGTACTTACTAACTTATGACTAGGACCTGAAACAATTTGAATTTTATCTTCAATGTAAGAATAAACTAGGAAACTAATTTCCACTTTAAATAAAGCAACAGATTACTTAAATAAAACGATTGACGTTTAACTATTAGAACTGAATCTTATCCAATCGTTACAATCGTTTCTTACTGTGAACAGTGATTTACATAAGACCTAAAGAACACAAAATTCTGCCTATTCTTCATCTAGATCAATTTCATTTCTGCTTAAAATGTATTATTATTATTATTATGATTATTATTACTAAAATCTGTTTATTATAAAAAGGGACAGTTGCATACAATAATCATTGGTATACATGTGTTTCTGTTTCATTCTTTTTTTTCTTTGTTTTATACAGAAAAAGTTCATTAGTTTATTGCCAGACGTTGCAATAGAAAAGAAAGTTGAACAAAAAATAGGCAAGAAAGTAATTTACAGGTAATTGTTTCTAAATATTTATCTATGTAAGAGTTAATCATATTGTTTATTGATCATTAGATGACCACTTTCACGCCCATATTTAATATTAAAGTGGAATATAGTTGATATTATATCCGCGGTCCTACTTTTATATCTTCAGCGCCGCTGCTGTGTTTGTAGTGGGTCTTTGTTAATGTCCATGGTTGTCGTCGCTATTACGTACGTATAAACTCTGCTGAGTTCTCAGTCTTACTGCTTATACTTTGAGACTCGAATCATTGCGATTGCCATGATGCAAAGTAAGAACATACAAAACTCATGCAATGAAGATTTATTGACTCTTCAAAAACACGTCACCAAACAAGTCCTCAAAATCACATCGTTGTTTGACTAAAATACAATTATTTATTTATCGTATTACACTTAATAATACCACATTGGGAGAAATACATGGAGTTACTGTAAAAATACAGGGAATGTACTTGTCAAACAAACCGAAAGTCCACTCTAGTTATATTGAACAAAGTTGTTACTGAATTGATACAATAAATATTGACCTAAAGAAGTTCTTTCTCACCCGTCATATCAAGTTAAGTTCAAACAATTTGATTAATGAGTAATTACCGTCTAAGAATTTGTGACTAAACAATTCTTCGACAAAAATCAATAAATATCTTTCCCACGTCACTTGGATTGACGAATTTCTGTTGATAAATTTGAGGCGAATTTATGCATTAAGTGTAAGTAGTCTACGGATTAGTTATCAATAGCTTTCTATTGTTACTTTATTGAACTTAACTGACTATTCATCACTACTACTAATAGCACGGTATCATTGTGGCTAATTCTAGCTTCGACTCAATTAGTCTGTGAATTTGTTAAAGCTTGATTAAAGAATCGGCTGGCCTACTTTAGTTTTCTAATTATGAATGATCGAGATTCTCCTAATACACATTTGAACAAATATGGACTATATAATACGGCAATTGACACACACAATTCGATAGTTTAAATCATTGAGCTGTAATTTATTTGTGATTCAACATGTGACCACTAAGTGAATTATTATTGTGTTTACTACTCACTTCTTAAACATTGTTAATCTAGCCCTGATGATACAATCTTATGTGAAACTATTTGCAAACTGAAAAAAGTTTCAACCCATCATCCTGTTGATTAGCATTTTTATTTAATCAATTCATGTAACATTGCTTGTTTATACCATCATCAGCTAGCAATAGGATATTAGTCAGAGAGATTCCATCCTTTTATGGATCGATCCATATAGTAATAAGAATTCACGTTCACATTCACACTTGCTACATTATTTTTCACAAGAGTTCAGTTCACCAATATTTCAAACCTGTTTGACTCATTTTTCACCATACACCCAATTTTTTTCTTTTACTTGTCTAATTTTTTATAGAGTTTCAGATGAAAGTGGTAAAATGGAGATTTCACTTGTATGTGAAAATGCATTGCCGAAAGCGTCTCTAACAGAAAACGATGTGTATCTCATTGACAGTGGACAATCTCTATTTGTTTATATTGGAGTGAAATGTAGTAGACGGGAAAAATTGGATGCATTATCTCATGCACATGTAATTTATTTGAAATTTACAGTTAAAGATTTGTTTTTTTAGTTTGATATTTTTGTAATAAAATTGTACTTCATTTGTAATTCATTTAATTAGGGATAATGAGTTCCGTACGACCTTAGGTCTCTGAGCAGGTTGATTTAATTATGAAGCTTTCATTATCACTCTGGACATCATTATTAGCACAAACTTTCAAATAAGAGTGATCTATTTTAATTTCTCCGTTTTATGACTAATAGCTTTTTCTGTCGACTTTGATGTTGGTTAGTTGCTTCTAACCCTTGTTTTGTCGTTGCTTGCATATTTATTTTGATTATCTTCACGCTATTGATCTGATTCTTAACGTTATGGTTTTACAAGATCTTTCCAAATGTTCGGTAAGTTGAATGGATTTCGATGTTTGTTGATTGCTGACTGAGCTCAGTGCTAAGCTTCTTCAAATTTTCTGGTTTTCTAAGTAGTCTCTCTGTCCAAGATCTCATCATTTTCGCAGTCGAACGCATATCTACAATTGTCTACATTCGCTGATATAAGCGAAGACAGCTAGTTGATGTCCTTGCAGGAGAATTCGAAGAGGGTGGCCAACTTGCCAGCCATGATGTTTCTCACAGTTGTAACGATTTATTTCGTACATGATGTTTAACTTTTATTCTTTTGTCATCTCATCCTTGTGTTTACATAAGATTGAGAGGAGTGATGAAGCTGGTTTGTAGGTTACCCCTATTCCAAGCTGCTTTAATAGTCTTGCGATTTTCGATATGTCCTTCATATGTGATAAGAAAATCCGTTTGTTGGTTTCCATGTTTATTTAGTTGCTAGTTGTCTGACTCCACTATGATCGAATCGTTTATTATCTCACATAGCTTCGTATATGTTCTATCGAGTTAACGCGTTTCGAACAATCTGCTAAAAATGTATAAGTGTTTGGTTGATTTTCTTTAGTCTTCAACTTAATATTTTATTGAAATTACCTCAGTTACGAACCGAAACTTAAAGAACAAAACATTTTTTCTGATTTATACTTTTGTATCATATTGGAACTAATTCATAATTCGTGTTATTATGGGTTGTATTACACACATACACACGTAGGCACAGGGATGTACTTACTTGTTACAAATATTGTTAGTACATGTTCTGTGTGTTACTCCATGACATTTATCAGAAGGTTGAATAATGTTAATTCAATAGAACCTATTTTGTACCATTTGAATATGTAAAGATATATCTACATGCTTTAAATATCTACATTGACTTACATTATATATGCATGCGTGTGTGTGTGTTTGTTTGATTATGCATTATACACTTATGAAAATGATACAATCATATTTATAAGTACAATAAATAAATGAATTTGTAAATAACTAATCACATTAGATTGTTAGTGTTTGAGTGTGAATTTATTTTATGTCACTTTAGATATCTTTGAACAAAATAACTGGTAGGAAAAGCATTTCGTGTGATCTGTGTAAGCTGCTAGTATTCAAATTGACAATAGTTTAGCTGGTAAACTGATATCATCCGGGAAACTGTCTGTTAGTTGTACACATTCACGGCGACCATATGACATGAAATCCGATTTGTTGTCTCAGTAAAACACTTTGAAACCGATTATGAATTCTCATTTTCAATCAAATTTTAATACACAGCACTATCGTCATCGAACGTCATCGGTATGTTGCTGTTTAGGTCTGAAATTGAATACTTTAGTGAGATATGGTTTCATCTCTAAGCTAGTTGCTGTTGGCCACATAGCTATTCTTTACATATATAGATACTTTTGAGGAGTTGTGCTTAACATCTCAAGAGTGAAAAATTTCACATTTTGTAATCTTAAATTATCTCATCTTAATTATTTCTTGTTATTTATTTATTTTCTAATTATTAGGATTACTTACAAAAAACTGATCATCCATTCGCTCCAATCACTGTTGTATCGAATAATCGTAAATCGAAGGAATTGGATAAACTGCTCGAATAGTATTGAATAGCAGTTAGAAAAAAGGTGAATGATCATGTCAACTTTAATTAAATGGACTGAGATTTCAAGTAATATTAATTCTGTCAGTATTTATAATATCATTACAATATATTCTGAAGTTATATTTACACTTATAAAGTGTATTATTATATGCATGAATACTTTTTATTTGTACTTTAATTATCTTATCTCGTTATTTATTCAACCAATATTGGTTTGAATATAATGTGTTATGTGCTTTCAAATAAATAATTGTTTTTCTTCCTAATGTGTTATGTCCTTATAGCCTGTTAATATATCACATGACTAAATCACCAATTAAGAACACCGACTTCCATGATCAGACCAATAATGCATTAACTAGTACGAGCAGCTTAGAGTCAACTCAGAGTTCTTGTTGATCCTCAGAGATAGTAGCTTCTCGCCTAAACCACTCGGTTCAATCCAGAACACCAATATCAGCTTCCGCTATATGAATCATGTATTACAAACATAAGCAGTTTATATACAAGCAAATCAGACTGTATCATACCACAAAACAAAAAAATAACAATTACAAAAGATCAGGCTCTAAGTATCCGTGAGTGTGAGATACTGTAACTGATAAATTGGGAATAGCTTGGGTTAATTTAATTTGGTTATTTATTCTCTAAAATGGCTTACACGGAGTCACGAAATGTCAGAAAATCTAATATATAACATTCTACCCAACGCTCGATTTATTTGAAATTCTCAAGTTAAACCTTGATAATGATAACTATAACTTAAGAATAGTAAGTCGTATAATAGTAGTCAATAGGTCAAACGGAAGCTTATAATATAAGGAATATTGAAATGCATATAATATACTTATTTAGTAGTTATACGATAAAAATATATATAATAAGTCCATAAATAGATCTTAGCAGTTACCATTCACTTCTTCCTATGGATATAACACAATGAATCTTGAATATTCCTTTCCATTGTATTTTGAGACTTGGTTTCCAGTTGGGTTTACTATAATTTCTAACTAATAACGAGTTGAGATCATTTTAATACAGATTGGATTTATTTTCTACTCAGTATTATGGTGGTTAACACACAATTTTCAATTATGACAATACTTGAAGTCAAAATGTATGGGAAAACTTCATATTTAGCCAAGAGAAAGTTGAATTAGAACAACTCGGTAAACATAAGAATGAAACACAACATTGGGGCACTGGAAAGTTAGCAACTTGCAGGAGACGACAGTCAATCAGTGAGGAGTATAAGCCATGAGAAAATACAAACGAGGAAAAATGAACTCAGTGCGATCGTCTTAAGAAAAAAAAGGCTGACATTTAATAACAAAACTGCATACGTTTAGGTCTTCCTAACACTTTCTAAACAGAGTATGCATTTGCTTGTCGTCATCGTTCAAACGCACAGATAATGGATGCTGATGGGAAAGCGGGAGTTCTTGTATTTAAGTAGGTTAGATTTAGCGGACTGATCGCGTATGATTCCTTCAAATTTTGCTATAGTTTATGATCTTAGACCTAAGTTAGCCAACTACTTATTACGGACTAGCTGAAGTCGGCGCGAAGCAATCTAAACTATATGGGAAATCATTTTCATTAGTTAAGAAGAGAGATAAATCGCAGCTATTTGTTGAAGAGATCCATAAAGCTCGAAAAAAGGCTTTGAAAACATTGAGGAGCATCTTATCCAATATGCGTTCACTAGAATTTTTGACAGAAACATCTAGAAAGTGGAAAGTCACATATCGAGTTTGTGATTGGATGGTTAAACATACTGCTACTATGTTTAGTAGCGTTCCAGAATTTTCCGGAAACTCAAGGCCATCTTAAATACTATAAAAACCCTAGATTTTCTGTACATAAACGAACATTTTGAGTGAAGCGTTTCTTCTATATTTCGCGGCTTTTCTCCCGTGTCCAAGTTGTTGTATAGATCTAGCGTGAGGGTTACTAGAAGTTAGGAACCGAATCTAGCTTTCAATTAGAAGATTTATCACTAATAACACTATTGCAGCTAGTTGTTATAAGTCGTTGGTTGTGTATGTAACACGAGATTTTAAGTTTCAGATTTGAACTTGGTGCCTAAGAGTTGCCATTTAATGTCGGCATTCACACCCGTTTGTGAGGCATACGTGATGCATAATAATTAACGTCTGAAATAAGGCTTTTCGAAATGTATTGTGTGTAAGAGTATTCAAAAGAACTATACTTTCATTGGCAGTTAAGTCCATAAAACAAAATATGATGAACTAACGCTCGATTCTTCTTTACTTTCCAGAAGTAATTGGTGGTAGAGGAAATGCGTGTTAATTTAGCGAACATATATCGTTTCGATCTCATCGTATCCAAGTGTCTATAAAGGCTTGGACCTAGGTTTCGCGCTCTCCCAGGAAAACTATTTATCCTGTTGAAAATATACTAGTAATTACGAATGAATCAGTGCATGAAGACAAGAGAAGACACTGGAAATAAGTTGGTGTATTGTATGAGGTACGTTAATCAATACAAACATCATGGCTTCAAACGATTGTCTATACCGATCCTTACAATTGCCGCCTTTACGAGAATCTCTGTTCCTAATTTTGACAATAGTAATTATATAATAGGAGAATTAAGCAAATTCGAGTTCAACTATATAAAGTAACCTCAAAGGACTATCATCAAAACTTGGGTGTATCACCTTATTCCATATAAGTACAGTGTATACATTAGTCCCTTATTCAATAAGCGGCAAATAATTAATTAACATCCGTTAGCTGAATATTATTCCTACAGCCTTTCGATTATCTAAGTGTGAATTATTTAACTTGTTGGACCGCTGAAAAAAACGCTGATCTCACTCTAAAACTTTCAAAGCATCTCATCTTCACGAACAACTATTGAGTAGCATGTAAGGTAACATGTCCACATCATAATAGTTTGTAGTTGTCATTCCTCCACATCACAAGATCAACAAAAATAATAATGACAATAATGATAATCATATTAATACTAATAATTGTTACCAACACTATTATAACTATCACTATCATAGTAATGTATTGGCCTCGTTATTTTGATGCGGTGTAGATCTATTGCTTCTCAATCATGTCGTTGTTAGAGGACAAGAGTGTGTTATTTCAAGGTCTCAATTACGATATAGCTGTTGTTCAATTTATTAAATCATTTTTTCTCAGACAAAAAGTATTCTTAGTAGTTTAATTAAAAATTCATCAACTGAATGACACATAACTGTATTTGTTGTTATGTTATTAGAAAGAGGTAGTCTGTTAAATTCTGCATTTGAACAGAACAAAACAAAGCTATTTACGTGAAGTGAAGTGATTAAACGTTCATTCACACAAACAAATTCATTAAATATTTTCATATTACCATATGACATCATAACAGTCATTAACTCATCTTTTTACGATTATGAAACTACGTAAGTAGTTTAATTAAAAACAATTAATCCCTTTGATAAATCTGCATAATACGATTATAACCGGCTTTTCATCGTATTATACAAATAGTTTAGTATGAATCCGACTTTATAGATTGAGGAATGGATTCATAACTTTCTAGAATGATTTAGAAAAAAAGTGTATTCACATTTGCCTAATGGGATATACATGTGAAATTATTTAACTGTTGCGAGATTGTGTGAAATTTCAACAGTTGAGATCATGAGTCAATTGAAGCTAGACCACCATGGAAAACCTGGAAATCTTGATAAACGGACTACATTTAACTTTCTAGGAGGATCACTTCATCATCATTACTGGAGATAAAACTCTTTGTTGATATTTCTCACTGAAAAATTGACTGGAAGGTCCTAAGTAGTTTATTCCTCATTTTAATGTTTCATGTTACTGGATGTTATCTTTTTGTACCAAACATTTCAAAGCACTTTTTTGATTATTTTTGGACTACTCAAATAAATACAAGTAGTCAAACGTTAAAGTAGATGTTATGATTTCAAAAGAAGAAATCTGTTAAAATGTTAACTTCTGAGACAAAATTTAACTTAACGTCGATTTGATCCACTAATATATTATTGAAATATAATCCATTTATCCGACAAAAACAAGTATCTCTGTTTATGCATAAGTTTCAAAATGTTTATATATCAGATTGGTTTTGCTAATTAGCATAAAATCATTTTAATATCAAACTTCAGTATGTTGATTATATTAAGATTTGGATAAGACTAAGTTACTTGACGACAAGGTAAGAATATATTCAGCCTCTTAGTATTTGAAGTTACAGCCTAATACATCCTTGTAAAATATTTGTTTCTATTACTTTTTCGTGTGTATAAAGGCCAAAATTGGCACTAGCATGTGATTAATTGATTACTATGATATCATATGGAAAATACAGTTGATCAGATCCATCAAAATCCGTAACATTGGATAACCTAAAACCTCCATAGTAAATGAATCAGCTAGAAACTAGAGCAGTATATGCTTTAGGCTTCCCATTCTAAGGTGAAATTGTAAAAATATCGGTATCGAGACATAACACGCTAATTGATTTTACTAGCTTATTCAGTTAATTGAGAAACGTAGAGTAGCAACATTGACAGCCAAGTGCATATGACGTACTGAATATTCAGAAGGAAGACATTCATTTATGGTTCATTCTATATGTAATTATATAGTTCTATATTAAAGAAAAGATTAAAACGTATTTATTAATCGTTCCTATGAAGACCTTATTATTTGAGAGCGAAGTTTTCTTCATTCAAGAAAATAACCTTACAAACGATTAGGGATTATTTGATCTCTTTTATCGGTAATTATTAGATCTTGAGTGGTTTCTGTTTATTAAGAGATTGATGGGAAAACAATATTGAGCAGTTTCTATTTCATGTAGACACATGTCATCAAAGACTTCCTTAATTTGAAGTTACTGAAATTTATGACTAGAAAATATCATTTTACATTAGAAATGATGCAATTTTTACTTCTTATCAAACCATCTATCATATATTTGATTTAAATGTCTTACTAG